CAGCTCTCTGCCGATAGCCAAGCAGAACTTGTAAGCAGGGCAATGTGTCCCAGACACCAACGGTGCGTTCCACTCTTATTCGGTACTATGATCCATTAACTACACACACGTGGGTAGGTTCTTACGCGGCAATCGCCAACTGCCCGCCATTTTCTTCATAGCTCAAAATAATATAAAAATCGAAGAGTTCGCTCGTGGTATTCTTCGTTCACCGTCGATCGACGCTCCACGCCCCGAAAATGAAAAGTAATACAACGCACGGGGACACACCTCCGCGGTTGAACGAAAATATGTTCCTTTCAGTTGCCAAGCAGCTGAAAGTCAAAGAAAGAAAGAAAAAGAACAGCGCAAAAGACTAGACGGAGAGGAAATTAATGCAGTAGCGGGGAGTCGAACCCCAGTTCCGCCTGGATCCGGTGATCACGTAGGAGGCAGGGTGTGCTGGACACCATCAGTGCGCGTGCGGATATGTTGAGAATATATGTGCCTGGAACACATTTTATTCGCGGACAACAGAGAAGATCTTCGAGGAAACCCTCGGCTTTGGCTAGGAAATCTGCACTCTACACCCCATAAAATGCATCTGATAACTGAGCTCCGATTGCAGATGAAGAATTTCAGCGGAAGAAGGCACGGAAAAAAAACCCCTGAGAGACTATCATGAGCGGGGAGTCGAACCCCAGAATCCAACTTTCCGCATGGATTCACTCACAGGGTGCCCGGACACCACTGGTTCGGTAATCGTACCACTTGCTTCGCTGTTTTGCGGGCTCAAATGCCATGCCACGCGACGAATGAAGGGATTTTGGGCCAACACACCGACCTTCCTGTTTGAGAAGCCCGGCCATCAGCGGCTCAGGACCAACGCATGTCCAAACAACACGACACGTCCTTCTCTTCCTTCTCCACCCATGTCGGTTCATCTACACCTTCATGACCTCTTTCCAGTTGCAGTTTCTCATAACAAGACGTCTCGGTTTCCCCCTTCTACCCCTTCAGTCCCTTCCCTAGCTCCCCAAGGAGCGACTCCGAGTGCTGCCACCAATGCCAGACGCTACTCACACCCCTTCAGCCTCATGCACTGTACATTCAATCAATCCCCCCATTTTCCCCATCACCTCTGTAGCTCTACGCTTTATATGCTTGGAGAACCCTGCGAACCCTTTGCAGGTGGGCTTCGCATCTCATTCCATCCACATGTACTGCGTAGATACAAGCGCAGATTGCGTATGTATAAAATACATGATTCGGAACAATACATCGAGTGAACTTGTATTTTTATTCCATGCCACCGATATTCTGAGCTTTTCCTCTTGAGCCAACGTGAGCTTGATATGTTTTCCTTCTCTTCCACTGGATTTGGACGGAATCATCGGATCAATCTTGCCGTGATCTCTGTGCTGTCTCAAAAAGGAAGGTCGGTGTGTCGGCCCAACGTCCCGAATGAAGTGAGCACGGGTGACGGAATGACAAAAAATTCATCCTTCTCACAATGGACGCATGCATCGCTGGGAGTCGAACCCCGCTCTCCGCCAATATCGTTATCAAGGATTTCAACCATATGGCAGTGTGTCCCGGACACCAACGATGCGTTCTACGTACTGTACTCTCCTTCTTGAGTGCTCTGATCAATCGATGGCAGGCCTCCAATCATTCAGTATTATACAGGACGTTCAAGTTTACGATGTGTGCTAGAGTCCTTCTCAACAAGGGCAGGTTGCCGTCGTACTCCTTGTTCAGAACTGCGTTTAATGGGGTGTTCCCCGCTCGCTACCCGGCAAAAATCCGTTAGCCAGGTAGATGCGGCCCGGGACGGCGTCGAGCTTGAGGTGAGTTCACCCCACCTCCGCGCATTCCTTCCTTCGTTTTGGCGTAGAAGTCGTTCTCAACCGAGGTACATTCGGGAATGTTCGAAAATCATTCGTCCAGGTTGGTTGAATAAGAACATGGTACACGCTCGATGGCGATCTGATAGGGAACGCAGCTTCAGGACCGAAGAGGATTCAAAGGGGGACAATATCCGAGGAAGCGCCGGCCGCGTGCATGTACGCTCCACGCACTAAGGGTGTTGCATCCACGACCGCTGCAAGGCTTCAATTGCACACATTCATTTGAAACACAGAACAAGAAGCAGAGGAACAAAAATATCAGCTACTATATAGATACCATCGGTATGCGCGAGCGGGGAGTCGAACCCACGCTCCGGCGAATCTCCAGTCCGCTACCAGAGCCTGAGGCCAGGTGTCCCGGACGCCACTGGTGCGCGTGCCTTTTCTCCTCAAACTGTATTATGGGGGGACTTACGAAGCAGACGCCACGGCTGCGGGTTGTAGACTCAGCGCGCCGTCGAGATGGTATTAGATGCGGAGTGATCCCCGCGGTCCCGATAATGGGGTTCTGGGCGCTGGTGGGCGTCGTCGAGGGCATCCATCCATCCATCAAGCCGATTCGATGGCCCAGAGTTCGGGTTGTGCCAAGACTTATGCCATACATAATGCGGCTTGGACATTGGATTATTGAAAGGAACTTGGACGTGTCTTGAGGAAGGGCCCTGTGGAGATGTAGCCAAAAATCCAGGGACTCTTGAGCGCCCGGAATATGTAACAAGAGAAAGAAAAATGGATCGGAGAGCTAGAAATCAAGGGAATCAAACTCCGCTCGGCTGGAACTTGCCGAGATCATCGACCGCAGCGCGTCGTTGGCTTTTATGTGCACGACGATGGGTTTCTCAGGACTCCACCGTTCCTTCGCCTTTCCCCGCGCTAGACGCACTCCACCGGCTGGACTCGGCTCCCCCGTCTGAGTCCCAACGCACATTCGGCGCGCCACGATGCGCGCCGGTAGACAAAGACGGCACGCCGCTCCTCAGCAGCTCCGTCGTCGAGCCGGGTGTTTGATTCCGCAGAGTGGGGCAGTGCACGTATTTCGCTGGCGCCCGTCTTCTTCTCTTCTTTTTGAGTCTTCTTCTTCTCTTTTTGAGTTCTTCTCCTCCACAATTTTGGCTCGTTTTGGGATGAGCGCTAGCAACGGACGCACGCAGAATGGCTCCTTCTCCTCCGGCTCGAGCACCTGCCCCGCGGGCATCCCGCAGGACCCGGACTTTGGCGATGGGAAGACGACGTGCGTCTTCCTCTCTTCCTTTCCTTCTCTTCGTTCCTTTCCTTTCCTCTGCTCTCCCCCGCGCGGGCATTTCGTTGTCGGAGTCTAACCAATCTATATACAGCGCGCAAACGAAAGCAACGCAAGCCCCTCCGCCTCCGCCTCCTCCCCAAAAAACGACTGAAGCCCCGCCCCCTACCGCCACCGCCGCCGCCACCGAAGACGCCCGCACCCACGCCCGCACCCGCGCCTCTGACTCGTATCCCCACTGCCTAGATTCCTCGTCTGAATTCCACTCAAGCTGTTACTTACTCGGACATCACATGAATCATCCCTCCCGACGATCTTGCAGATGACATGAAGCCGCGATTTCCCTCTAGGCTCTCAGTCTCACTACTCGCCTCCCCCGTCCCACCGCACCTCCGGCGCGCCGCCGCCGTCACATGCGCGCCGGGTGATTTCGCAGAGTGCACGTACAGAGACGCGGGGCAGTGCACATATTTTGCTGGCGTGCGTTGCGTTCTTCTTCTCCTCTTTTTGAATCTTTTTTCTTCTCCCGTTTTCTTATGTAGAACGGCTCCTTCTCCTCCGGCTCGAGCACCTGCCCCGCGGGCATCCCGCAGGACGGGCCCGGACTTTGGGGAGGGGACGACGGCGTGCGTCTTCCTTCCTTTCCTTTTCTTCCTTTCCTCTGCTCTCCCCCGAGTCTAACCACCAGAAATAAATATATACAGAGTGCAAATCAAAGCAACACAAGCCCCTCCCCCTCCGCTGCCGCCTCCTCTCCCAAAACGATTAAAGCCCCGCCACCAAAGACGACGAGTACGAAGCGCACGGAGACGACAACGGCGCGCGCAGCGAAGACGACGCAGGCCGCGCCCCCGCCCCCGTACCCGCCGCCTCCTTCCACGATGCGCGCGCCGGAGACTAGCCCCCACCCGCATCCGCACCCGTGCCAGCGCCCCCGCCCGCGCCCGTATCACCCAGCGCCCTCTCCTTCGTGCCCCGCCCACCCAGCACGACTGCCGGAGCGGGTGCGGGAGAGGCGAACGGCGTGGGCGCCGCGGGAGTAGCTAGTGCTGCGCTCGTTTCGCTTTCCCCCTCTTCTGCGCCTACGCCTATGCCTACTCCACCTACGTCTACTGTTGGTGGAGCTGAGAGTCTGGGAACGGGGACGGGGACGAGCAACGGCGCCTCCCGGATGCGGGTGCGGGTGCGGGCTGGCCACGGGGTGGTGCTTGCTACGCTCGGGGTTGGGTTGCTGGTGGTGCTCTGAGGGATTGGGATTCAGAAGACTCCGCGGCATTGCGTGTACGGCGCGCAGCGTCCAGGTGGACTTGTATTTGTATCGGACGCGCATCCATCCGTCCGTCCTTCCTTCCTTCGCTGGCCGCTCTGCGCTAACCTCGGTTCGGATTTTCGGTTCCATCAGCAAGTACGCACACACACCACTGGTGTCCGGGACACGCCGCCTTCGAATTTGATGCTGATTTCTAAATTCAAGCGGAGTCGGGGTTCGACTCCCCGCTGGTGCATTATTATTTTCGAGTTACAGAATTTAATTTTTTATTCTACCGCTTCCCCTGAGCCATTCCGCGAATCTATAGACAAGATCAGGAGAGAGGAGTTGAGGGTCCAGGGTACTGTATAGGGAAAGTGTTTTGGTTGATAATGAATAAAGCCGAAAGTATTGTCCCTTCGCCTCCATCTATGTTCCTGCAATCTTTGTTCAGATATTCAGACACTTGTGTGTAAGGTGGGTGGTGTCGACGAGTGCACTTGTATTGTATTTGTATTGGACGGGGATTCATCCTTCGCTGGCTCTTGCCGCTAAGTTATATTAACCCCATATGCGGATTCTGGGTCTCATCAGCAAGTACTATAGACATCTTACCGCGTGCGCGCCAGTAGTGTCTGGGACATGCCGCCTTTGAATACAGGGTGTCCAGCCATTTAGGCGGAGCTGGGGTTCGACTCCCCGCTGGTGCAATTCTCTTCCTGTCGCTACCCTTTTTGTGTTTTCTTTTTCGTGTTCTTCTTCGTATCGAATGAATGGCTGCAACTGGATGCGACATGGGATTCGCCAAGTATACCCTCCTCGACTCCTCTTGTACATGCATTACTTTCCGTGTAAATTCGAGGACCATATGATACAAGTCTCAGTCTACAAATGCGCACCGGTCGTGTCTGGGACATACTGCCTTTGAGTTTGAAGAGTTGCTCATGCAGGCGGAGGTGGGGTTCGACTCCCCGCTGGTGCACTGTGTTTCCTATATTGTCACCTTTTTATGTTTTCTTTTTCGTGTTCTTCTTCTTCTTATTCGTATCGAATGAATGGTTGCCATTGAAATTGAAAGATTCATCAAGTATACATCCTCCTCGACACCTCTGGATGCTTTACTCCAAGAGCATATAATCCTGAGTCTCAGCCTACGAATGCGCACCGGTGGTGTCCGGGACACCTCGCCTTCGGATTGAATAGTGTTGAGATATGGAGATTCAGGCGGAGCTGGGGTTCGACTCCCCGCTGGTGCACTTCTATATTACAGAGGGTTTCTTTTTTTTCCTTTTTCTTCTTCGTTGTCAGCTAGACTTCCGCGTCCTCTTGGTTTCACATGAATATTATAATGTTTGAACTGATTGAACGCAAGATTCGTCCGAAACGTGATGCTTTGCTTCCCGTGTACATACTAAATTCGAGGACTCCATTTGATGGATCCTGTGTTATTTCAGCTTATGCTAGAATGAGTAGAAATACGAAGGCAGAGGTTGCTATAAAAAGGTGAGTTCCACTAAGCTCATGTGCACCAGTAGTGTCTGGGACACACTGCCTTCGAATGTCCAAAACATCTCCAACATTAGTTGCAGGCGGAGGTGGGGTTCGACTCCCTGCTGGTGCATAGCATGACATTTGCCACTCGGCACATTTTTTTTGTCTGCTTCTTCCACGTCTTCGTTTCAAATCTCTGGAGGCAGAATGTCGCCGCTCAATGTGAAGTGGAACGGTGAGAGTTTCCCTCCCTATCTTTCCTCCCCCCTCCCTCCCCTTTCGAACTGCCATTTTTAACTCACTCGTCGAATTCGCAAGTTCGAGTCGCTAAACCCAGCAGCAGCTAATACAAAGGTGGTCCAAGTCCAAGGATACAGGCATCTGCACCGGTAGTGTCAGGGACACGCCGCCTTAGAATCAGGTTGCCGCCTTCGGTTCAGGCGGAGCTGGGGTTCGACTCCCCGCTGGTGCATTATTATTTTCGAGTACAGAATTTAATTTTTTATTCTACCGCTTCCCCTGAGCCATTCCGCGAATCTATAGACAAGATCAGGAGAGAGGAGTTGAGGGTCCAGGGTACTGTATAGGGAAAGTGTTTTGGTTGATAATGAATAAAGCCGAAAGTATTGTCCCTTCGCCTCCATCTATGTTCCTGCAATCTTTGTTCAGATATTCAGACACTTGTGTGTAAGGTGGGTGGCGTCGACGAGTGGACTTGTATTGTATTTGTATTGGACGGGGATTCATCCTTCGCTGGCTCTTGCCGCTAAGTTATATTAACCCCATATGCGGATTCTGGGTCTCATCAGCAAGTACTATACACATCTTACCGCGTGCGCGCCAGTGGTCTCCGGGACACGCCGCCTTCGAATAGTGAAGTTCCAGAATCCGGGCGGAGGTGGGGGTTCGACTCCCCGCTGGTGCACTTCGCATCTTCCCAAACTGTTTCTCTCTTTTATTTTGCCTTTTGCGTTTTTCGTTGCTCTCTTTCGTCTCGAATGTTTGCGCTGTGGACGCACAAAAAGTGCTCGCATGCAAGACTATGAAGTGAGACATTCGTCAAGTATCCCCCTCCTTCACTCGTCCATATGCTTTGGAATTCAAGCTTTCCTTGTAAATTCCAGGAGCATATAATGAGTCTCAGCATACAGTAAATGCACCGGTGGTGTCCGGGACACACCGCCTTTGAATAAGAATTCTGCGGTTGAATTCGGCGGAGTTGGGGTTCGACTCCCCGCTGGTGCACTGGGCTTCCGCGTATCGCTACCCTTTTTGTGTTTTCTTCTTGTTCTTGTTCACAGTCTCCCTCTTCGTTATGAATGAATTGATATGCAAGACCAGTTGAGAAACTCGTCAAGTATATGTACCCCTCCTCCACTCCTCAAGAGTCAAGATGCATCGCTTTCCGCATGACCATGTAAATTCGAGGAGCAGCTATGGTGCTGTTCACTTAGTCACCACCAAAGTTAGACTAGTCCCAAATTTGGCCCAACAAATTTGTATTTTTTTTCAACGCAATATATGCTGGTCAAAGGCAATTTGAACCATGTCTGACCAACTAGAACTGCTGTAGACAGTTGAACACTTGACTACCTTGTATCATTTGACCACATTCATGACCAAATCCAACTTAGCTTCAACTTTTGGTTGTTGAAGTGTCTGCCAAGTTTCATGGATAATCTCATCTCGAACCACAGTTTCAATCATAAAAAGTCCAGAGAATGAATCATACAAGATTAAATGATCGTTTGGGGGGCCATACATTGCTATTTTGTGCATAGTCCCAAATTGGTTGGTCAACAATTTTAAAACTCCGTCATTTTTGAAGTTATGGAAAATATGTCTTGGCAAAAGATTCCTCTCATTGAAAGGAGCACTTTTGCAAGAGGGATAAGAAAAATCTCTTTTTCTGAGTGACTAGTACCACTTGTCACAACGTTGTGGTGACTAAGTGAACGGCACCATACCACACATATGGAGTCGAAGGGTAAGGCATGCGCACCAGTGGTGTCTAGGACACGCCCCCTTCGAATTATGTTATACCAGGGACATTTGGGCGGAGATGGAGTTCGACTCCCCCCCGGTGGACTGTGCATCTAATATCATGTTTTCTTTTTCGTGTTCTTCTTCATTCTCGAGTTGCACATTACATAGTTCCTTATAGACATCAAAATTTACTCGTACCGTGGTTTCAAATGAATGTTTGCACCGAATGGATGCAAAAAACGTCGGATACTGGATGCTTTGTAAAAAAAAAAGGATGTCAATTCGAGGAACTGGATTCAGAGTATAACGCATCGTCGGTGTCCGGGACACCCGCCTATCGTTAGTCTTGTATGACGGCTTTGGCGCACAGCGGAGTTCGCCTCCCTCAGCGATGCATGTTTGTGTCGATTGGCATTTTTTTACCTTCGCCCTCTTAGGGAGTCGCTTTATGAATCGAGGGCGAAAAGAATGAATTCCGTCGTTGGTATGGTTTGAAGAACTACACAAGGGGCAGAGGAGCTGGTCCTGAGTTGGCGGGAATATTCCAAATTCGTACACAGTCATCGGACATGACCACGAGGATGCACCTCCTTAACATCGCAGAATATATTAAATAATACTTCTTCGATGGTTGGCGGAGGGCGGGGTTCGACTCCCTGTCGGTGCATGCGGAAGGTCCGGTATAGATTCTTTTTAAACCCGAATGTGCAACACCGTTCGAAAGTGCACCGAACCTGTCGACGGTACGGGCCCGTAGCCATTCCGTTGAAATAGGGTCCGAACTAGAAAGGCTGCCAAGCCCGAGAGCTCAAGATCTCGCGGAATTCGAATTTCAAAGAAGGATGTGAACGTGAAACGAACAAACTCCAGAGACAGATGGGCAATCGAGACATTGTTCGAAAGCTCGCCGACCCCATGAATAGGCGCTCGATAGGTGCCCCTCGAATTTCGGATTCCGCTGCTTGTCGAGGCACGAACAAATATGGCGGTCCAAGTGCACTTTTAATAATCCCCCCCTACTTTGTACTTTCCGACACTTTTATGTGAGGTTTTTGTACTTCCCTACCCTTTTATAGACATTTTGTGACCAAAGTGTAAGTGTCGGAAAAGGCCGATCTCTCCTAACCTATTATTAACTCGGTTATGACTTCCGACACTTTTATTGACACACTTCAGATTCCCGACACTTTCATTGACCACACTCAAATTCCCGACACTTACACTTTGGTGGGTCAAAATTTCCGACACTTTTATTTTTCGAGTTGAAATTTCCGCCACTTTCTTTTTGGCAGTCCAGTCCTCCGACACTTTTATTGAGGCAAAAATAATAATAATCTAAATTGAGGACTAGACTACAGTACTACTATCATGCCGGTCACTCACCGGCCCCAGCTGCCCATTGGCGACCATCTGGAGACTGGTGCTGTAGATCCAGGCCTTTGCATGGTCTATTGGCCACAACGGGCTTGAGCTCCTATGGAAGGTGACATCACCTGCATATGCAGGGTGGTGGAAATGTACAGGGATGAGATGTTGCTCGTCGTCGCGGCTTCGGCCGTGCAAACTCAGACTGCATGAACAAGTTTCTGAGAAGTTTCACGTGACCGCGCAATGCTTTGTTCAAGTTGTCACTGACTCACTCCCTCGGTAGTCTGTGATATTATGACATACAATGCCTCGATTTTGGCACGGCGATGGCCCACTCTACCTCCAGAAACATGCCCCAAACTAGCAGATGACCACATGTACGGGCAGTTTAAACTTTACGGGCAAACGCAAGTACAAGATGGCCGATGCGAAATCCTCATTCAGTTCATCCAGAATCAAGATCGTTCCTCTCAAGCAGGATACACATTCTTACCCATTCAAGTACCTTCGAATTCCTATGGTGTCGTCCCCGTTCCCGCGTGGTGCTCGCAGCTCATGTGGTGGAGAGATATTATAACGTACGAGCCCGTATCTTCATTGGTAACCCGGTCCGCATTGTCACGTATGATGCCCACTTGACTTACTTCTTCTACAGGCCTTCACTTTGCCTCTTGAGTAATATATCAGTCAAGGATCACGAGCCTAAGACCTCAGAGACTCAACACTTAATGCAGTGAAGAAAACCCATGGCATCATCCTCCTCTGACCTCTTTGCAATCTTCGCTACGAATCTCCCGATGCATTAGGCGGCGGCACATGCTCTGCTGGCTGCTCTTCAAGTTCTCAACACAGCCGCAAAGATGAT